TATTCAGCATGCTTTCGGAATCCCGGACCCTCTGCTCACAGCCATTATGGACCTTCATGATGATGGGCAGGACTGGATAAAGCTGCGTGGCCGAGTGTGGGAGCCATTTAATGTTAATTTTGGGGTGCAACGGGGATGCCCTCTAGCTCCTACACTAATTTACTTCTTGGATCACATAGTTCGAGAATCATTCCATGACTATACGAGTGGAATATCTATTTGGTACAGATACAAGATGAGGTTGATTGATGCTCTCGTGCGGTCAAGCAATGGCTTCCTGTTGGTCAACCATTTTATGTATGCTGACAATACTGTGTAACATTTTTTTGTTCCTGGTAGTAAGTGTTATTTGCTAATTGCTTATGCTTCAAAAGTACATAAAATTATTCCCCACAAACTTTTATGGCCAGGACAGTGATATTTTGAAATTTACCTATTTTCCAGAACATTCCAGAGAGATTCAGTGCTGAGTAAACTTGGAGTAACTTATAGAACATTCTAGAACTTTCCAGTAATATAAATCTATATATATGTAGTGTTTGACTTTACGCGGACAACTTCTGCCTTTCTTCAAACACCGCTTTATTTACATCATTCAACGTCCTCCACACTCCACAGTATCCTGGTCACCATGGCTCGCTCGCCGTGCTCCGCCCGTCTCGCTCACCACCTTTGTCTCCCCACTATCACTTCATTTCTCCGCACACAGCGTCTTCGCACACAGCGAGTCCCCGTTCAGCAACTCCGCACACAGCGTCTTCGCACACAGCGAGTCTCCGTTCAGCAGCTCCGCACACAGCGTCTTCAGCTCCGCTATTGCTACACTCTCTCCACTGCTGGCTATTCTCCTCAGCTCTTCCGCACACAGCGTCTTCGCACAAGCGAGTTTCCGTTCAGCAACTCGCACACAGCGTCTTCGCTCCGCTATCGCTACGCTCTCTCCACTGCTAACTACTTCGTCTTGCTTCAGCTCTACTAACGCTACGCTCACTCCACTCTAACTACTTTGTCTTGCTTCAGCTCCGCTAACGCTACGCTCACTCCACTGCTCACTACTTTGTCTTGCTTCAGCTCCGCTAACGCTATTCCAACTCCGTTTCCCACTCTGTCTCCAACTCTGTTCCGAACTCTGTTTCTACTCTGTTTCCAAACTCTGTTTCTAGACTCTGCTTCTACTCCGTTCCTAACTCTGCGTCTTCATTGTCCAGCTCCCAACTCCAACCCACATCTGTGTCTCCCCCAATTTATCCCCATTCTCATTATCGCTAATTAATTGGCCCGCGTGCCTCCGCACGCTTCACGTCCTCAAACACCTGTCCTTCTCCAGACATCCCGATGCCTCCTCGCCCTTTACAACAGCCACAGCCAATCACCGCCGTTGCTAATCCTCTGTCTTAATTGGCCCAACCGTTACCTCATCATTTCAGCCTTTGCACCTGGCTGTCCTAAGACGGCCCACACTGTTTACGCCTTCTCCATAGGCTGACCCCAGATAAACCCACACTGTCCGTGTGATCATGCAATCGTGCAGTTTCCACAACACACCTTCATACTCCACTACATCTATAAGTAAAAAATTGTCTGTTTGTGGGCTTGTTTGTGTGTTCGCGTGCTTGCGAACGATTTGCCTCTACAACGGTGGGGTTTATGTAAAAAAAAATAGCCAGATACCACGCCGTAAGCCCCACGGTGAGCAAGCGCTATTCCTTTTTCACATCCATCAACTTAAAATTAGTTTAATTAGCGATTTAGTGTGATCGTGCACGACCATACCAATTCACGCGCCTTTGGTGGGGGGGGGGGGGGGCATGCCAAGTCGAACGCTTTCGGTGGGAGTGAGGGGGACATTTTCTTTCGCGTTAAAAATGCTATAAAAATACACTAAACGCTGACGTTAATTCTTCACTGTGTGATGCCCCCCCCAACCCGATGCGTGCAGTTATTACTACTATACACTTGCTAGATGCTATCACTATAGGCCGTAGATATTACTGCAGAGCGGCCGGAGAGATCGTGGCTGGGGTGGGGGGGTCAGGGGTAGCAGCCCAGCCCCAGCCTGCAAAGGTGCCACCTCGGCCGGCTGGACAATCAAGGCGAGGCCGGAGGCTCTACACGGGACTATGCCTCACCACGCCACTTTGTCAGGAAAGTACTTTGTGCTATAGAGTCCATAAATACTGTTTTAGAGTCAGCATGTACTATTGTAGTGATAGCAGGCACCACCACAGTCGGTAAGCACTGCTGTAATCATAGCAGGTACCACCACAGTCAGTATGCACTGCTGTAATCATACCAGATACCACCACAGTCGGTATGCACTGTTGTAATCATAGCAGGTACCACTGCAGTAAGTACGCACTGCTGTTAGATTTTTAAGAGTAGTTTTAAAAAAAAATTAAGACCCGGCCAACGCCGGGTACTTCACGCTAGTAGTAGTATAAATACAGGGGCCTTAAGCCCACCAGTTAAGTTCAGTTCCAGCTGCCTCAGTGGATACATATTTGCATTTTTCTGAGATGGCATCAAGAGGCTGCAAGCATCTGGCAGAAACATTTTGCGATGTCTGCAGCCAATTTATCAAGACAAGAGCGAAAAAGTACTCTGTGGAAGCATCTGCTAAGATGTGTGAGGCCTGCAAGGCATATTTCGGCATGCCTGTCAGGGATCAAAACAAACCCTGGGTACCTCATTTCACCAGCGAGCAATGCAAAAACACTCTGGAAGATAAGATGAACAATTGCTGCTCGGAATTGTATGCTATAAAATTTGTTAACATTTTCGAAATTGTAAAAGTTTTTAATTTTACATTTTTCATAAATTTCCAATGTTATTGAAAAACTATATCATATAGGATTTTTTTTGCAAGAATCTCTTACACATTAGTAATGGGTGAAATAAATGTATTTTTGTTGGATGGTAAAGAGGGGAAAGAGAGCCATGAAGTTCGCTATCCCAAGAATTTGGCGGAAACCCACTGCCCACTCAAGCAACTGCTACTTCTGCATGGTGGACCCTTCCAAATGTGCGACTGGCAAGAATGCACCTGCTATCACGTATCCGGACTTTCCTTCATCCATCGCCCCGGTGCCACACTGCCATGAGCTCCCCGTACCCACTCCTCCGGAGAGAGAGCAGCCGTCTTCAGAAGAAAGCAGCAAGTCAGAGAGCAAGGAAGACGTAGATCCAGATGACAATTTTAGAGGTGGAGCTGAGGACAGTATAACGAGAACATGATGGGAGTACATTAGGGGGCTGATTCGTGAAAGTGATTTACAGTATAATCGTAACCATCGAAAAACTACTCACTTCTAAATTTTTTGTTGTCATTTTTGTAATACTTTAGTATAAATACATGTTCATTTTTCTGACTTAAATAAATAGGTAAATTTCAAAATATCACTGTCCTGGTCACAAAAGCAAAGTTTGTGGGGAATAACAGCCATTGTCTATGCTTTTTAGGCATAAGCAATTACGAAATAACACTTACTACCCAGGAACAAAAATTGTGTTACATAGTGTCATTTGGCAATTGCTGCCCACTGCGTTGGAGATGCTACTGCTGAACCTGGAGCGTGCTACTAGGAGATGGGGCCTTGCCATAAGCCCCACAGAAAACAAAGCACCTGCCTGGGTATTTTATGTCATTGAATGCTCCCCTCCCCCCGCTCCCCATGAATTATGGGGAAGTTTCCGTACTTGGGTAGTATGCTTATGACCAGCTTCGGTTTGGCAGTAAAGGTCTCACTCCGAATCAGGAGAGCACCATTGTCATTCCATTAGCCGCGTAATGCTGTGAGGAAGCTACTTGGTCCATCGCTCCATGCAATGCTCTGGGTCTTCTCGGCCACTTATCTCGACACTTGTGAAAGGTGGAGCCCTCTCTGAAGGAACATCTGCGCCAGTTTGAAACGTTCAGGATAGCATGCCTACGATCCATCCTAGATTTAACCAGATTGGATTGTGTGAGCTCACAGATCTTTGAAAGATATGTACACAATCCCATCTGTGAGCCCCTCCGGCAGGTGAGGAGGCTGCGTTCGTTGGGTCATGTAGCCTGCATGCCCGAGCAGCTCATGTTTGGCCAAATAAATGGGGCTAAATGGGCGCGGCACGGGCTAGATAAGAGATGGACAGATGCGGTGCAGAAGGTCAAGGTTGGACTTGCTGATGGCGAATGGTACCAGCGGTGTCAAGAGCAGCTTATGTGAAGGAGGTTGGTGTGAAGGACGCTGCTACTGGGCAGTTGGAGGCAGTCGCCCTCCAGCAACAACGAAGGGCGGAAGAGCGACGCTCACAACAACGAACGGAGTGCTGGGCGGGTAAAATGTAGCGAGTTGGCACAGTAGGGGGCACAGCTGGTGCATCAGCCAGTCATTCCAGTCAGCCAACCCATGGCACTTGGGTCTGTCCCGTGATATTCTGCCAGCGGGCCTTCGACACTTCACGTGGCCTCTGAGTGCACTTGCCCTGGCACAAGCGTCGTGGTGGATACAATTGCTGGCACTGGGTGCAAGGTTTTGGTGGTGCGTCTTCTAATCCACATCTAGAACCATTCATTTAAATTGTTTAGATTATTAGCTGATATACATGTTCCACATGATAAGTGATTTGTTTACATTTCCTATACTTTGAACGCCTGTCGTCTTATTTTATATTGTTCATTGTTGCAACGTTCTAACCCGCCCTTTACTGGACACGTGCGTTAAAGAGCTTTATAGCTCATCGGATTCCTCCAGTCTAAATAAAGATTCGGATTCCGTATAACTTTATTGAAAGCAGCGGCCGCGTCAACGGGAGGCGGGTGGGGGGGAGGTAGTGGGGGGGAGGTAGTGGGGGGGAGGTAGTGGGGGGGAGGTAGTGGGGGGGAGGTAGTGGGGGGGAGGTAGTGGGGGGCGGGCTCTCGCGGCAACTATCACGTCATCGCGCACGGCTCTGTATTTCCCACCGCACATAGGCGCGCCGTGCGCGGGCAATGTTCGGGACTCGCAGCCCCGTGGGTTGGCTTATCCGCTGTGGGAAATCCAAACTCGCGCGAACCCATCTCGTCAATATAGGCGCGCATTGACGTAAACAAGAGAGAGAGAGGGTTTTTTTTTTCTCTTACAGCCACACTCAACACCAACATGGGAGGCGTTCTGGGGCTGCTCTCCGCCGCAAGCTGGGTAAAACAAGCGTGTTTATTTGTCGCGATTGTTTCTCGGGTCCGAGCGGGTTCCTTTTGATCCGCGGTACATGTAAGGTGCGGCGCAAACGCGATGAGGCCCAGGCGGTTAGAAAGCCTGCGGTCTTGTCTGGTTTCTCTGCGGGAAAAGCTGCGGCTGTGCCCGGGCGGGAACGGGGGTGGGGTTTTGGCGGTAGTGGAATTCTGACCGTGAGTTACCCGTTATGGCATATTTAAGATTATTTTTACAGCACGTCTTGGTTGTTGAGGCTCTGAATTTATGTTAAAAACGACAGCCCCTGATGCGGTACTTATGCTGTAGCATGTGATGGCATGGCCTAATTTCAATATTCGTATTCGGCTGTGGCATTTAATAAAGCAATATTGTATGGTTGTTTTACGTACAATGCGCTCATTATAGTAGGCAATTTATTAATAATTTAACAGTGTAATACAAGAAGCACCGTCAAAATGTTTTCAACAATGTCAATGGAAATATGTTCTCGAAGACACCATATAAACAATGCAGTATTGTATTGCATTGCAAACTGCTGTCATTGTAAATAATATGCTGATTATTGCAACCTGCGTAGGAGTAACTTGTAAAGAACATTGTTTGTAAATATTGTTGTCATTACTGTAAACAATGCGGTCATTACTTTACAGTGCTGCAAATAATGCAGACTGTTTTGTAAATAATGATGGCTGTATTGTAAATAATGCAGTTCGTACTGTAAATAATAGTAATATAACTAGTTCCATTCATTAAAAAAAATGTTATTTCGGTTGTTTTTTTGGGTTAGATCGCGTAAATATAAATGTGTCATTAAACCACCACCACCCGACGCAGTCAATTAGTAAGGTTTGTCACGTAAGCAAAACGTGTCAATTAGTCACTGCTTCAGCACACCGGTGTATTGGAGAGTAAACCCACAACATTTACAATTTCAGTAGGACATTTGCAGTCATTACTGTACATTTGTTATTGTTACGCCTGTTTGGCCAGGACAGCCTCACTTGGCTTTTTTCAGGCGTGTCCTGCCAACTATTCCCAGTAGGGGAGGCGATGATTGCTATGTACATTCCCAGTTGAGTAAGTTGCGGATATTTGGTTTTAATTTGGCGTATTTCTGATGGCTTATTCGTTGCGCGGTAACGCATTGTTTGCGTTATTTACATGTGTTTACCTGCATAATTCCTTGTTGGGGCATCTCGTGTCAAGTGACGCATACGTAGCGAACACTCACTACGTAATGGCACGAATACAAACATTTTAAAATATACCACATGGAGTATACATTGGCACAATTTCAATGCAGTATTTCTAGCATCTTGCAATGCAGTATACTGCGGTACTCGGGGTCGTAGGGTTTACTAACTATTTAGCAAGTCTGATTACAGGGTAAAATGACCAGCCTTTAATCCGTTTGTTATTCAGCATGTTAACCGCACGTGCGACTTGCATCTCAAATTTAAATGAATGCCTCGTTCCACAAGTTTCATTTCTGCAGGGTGGTCCAGATGTCAGGTGATCCCCATTTAAGTCTCTAAAACGTAATATTTGAAGGTAAGGTTTATTAAAAACATAAATGAATGTGCAAAGGCATGACATGTTAGGGGTCAATGGATTGGGGGTCACAAGAGATCTGGACCACCTTGTATGTTCTTGGAAGTCATGAATATGAATAATGGATTTACACTTTTACGCATTAAAAAAATGAACTTAAGTCAAAGGTGGCAGTGTTAAAAAGTACCAAACCTTATGCCGTGCGATGTTGGCAGATGATGTAAATACAGTAAATGGGTCAGTAAACTTGACAATACAGACCTATTCCTAAATTTTGATTTAAAGCTTTCGTGACTGCAGTAATTCATATTCTTAGTTTTTTTCGGTAAAGTCACGTTGAAGAGAAACAACAAAATAATAAGACCTATTCCTGTTATCGCCTCGTATGTTTTCTGCAGTCACTGCTTTCGTCCCAAAATGTTAAGACATTTTCACAAAGGAAATGGTTAAATATCTTAATATTCAGTACCCTGCTGAACTTGAATCTTCAGACTTAATTAAACGCTAGTAGATTATAAAATTAATATTATTGAACAAATATGTAAAAAGCCCCAAGTTTTACAAACATTGCACAAGCCATTTTATGAGCGTGACTTACATTTTTTATATGCTTTGGTGCTTAAATAAAAGCGTGTAATACTAATACTACGGTATATTGAACTACTAAAGAAAAACTGACAGTTTGTTGTCTAAATGCTTATGACAGTCGAGTCCTGGTGATAACAGCAGGTAAATCAGTTAAACCTCGAGCTAGTTAATTACAATTCAATACGGTATTTCCTGACCAAATCACCTGCTATTCACCCAGTCTGGTAAGCGCCGTTGAGTTTAGATAGTGCTTAGATGGACGTTGAGTTTAGATAATGCTTAGATGGACGTTGAGTTTAGATAGTGCTTAGATGGACGTTGAGTTTAGACAATGCTTAGATGGACGACCACCATGCGCAAAACAGGTGTTGTTGGCTGCTGCAGGGATGCGTTTTCAGTAGAAGGTAGTGCAGCAAAATCCATTGTTGTACTGCAATTTTCCCACATAATGCTCCCTGCCTTGAAAAACACGGACTGATCAGCTTCGTGAAGTATGGTCGAATAGCCCCCCCCCCATAACCTGCATGGAGCGGGGAGGTCGTCAGCCAGTAGTGGATTGACAAGAGGGCTGTACGTGTACATGTATTTTTTTTTTTATAAACGTCTGTGTGTTTTACATGTGTACACAGGTGCCGTGCCTTTGCAGCAGTGCCCCATGCCTGCTGTGCGCGTGCTGCCCCAGCGGCAACAACTCCACCATCACCCGCCTCGTCTATGCCATGCTCCTTCTGCTTGGAACTGCTGTCGCCTGCATTATGCTTTCGCCAGGTGTGGAAGTGCGCCTAAAGCAGGTGAGTGGTACGGTGGCACGATGTGCAACACATCTTTTCTACAAGTTACTGAGGCTTTTCTGGATAAACAAGCGTCATAATAATAATAATAATACACTTTTGATGAATGACAGGATTCTTTAATGTCCGCTGTGAAGCAGATCATGCATAATGAACCTGGTTTAATCAACCGGGGCAGCCGCTGGACTCGAATTGCGGACCTCTGCAACAAGCAGCCAAATGCACTCCCACTTGGTCTTGTCACCACCATGGCAAGAGTATTATCTTGACCAGTCGGCTAAAACATATCACCTTTTCGTGATTTTCCTCGTTCTTCTTAATGGGGAAATTGGCACGCACTTTTCCAAAAATCAAATGAAAAGGAACATTCACAAGCGTGTGTATCCTGCCTATAATGTTGTCTTTGCCATGTGTTTTTTTCACAGATCCCCGGCTTCTGCGAGGGAGGCATGGGCACACAGGTGCCTGGGGTGCATGGCTACGTGAACTGTGATGTGCTGGTTGGGTTCAAGGCCGTGTACCGCGTGTGCTTTGGGATGGCCATGTTCTTCCTGCTCTTTTGTCTCATCACCGTGGGTGTGCGGTCCAGCCGTGACCCACGTGCTCCACTGCACAATGGGTATGTGTCGCTAGAATTTCATCGTGACCTGCGTTCTGAAAGCAACCGTGCAGCCTAAATATAATACACCACAAATTTAGATTAATATGCCTAAATGAATAATAAGTGGAATCTGAACCGTAGTGTGCCTCCCATAGGTTTACTCAACCTTGAATGAGAGTGCATTCTATGAACATCAGCAGTAGAGAGACAAAAAGTAACCAGGTGTAGTACTGGCCCCACCCCCCAGATGTGCCGTGCCGGGCCTTTGTAGGTGGTAAGTAACAACACTTGCCACGTCAGTCTAACTGGCTAAACTGGGGATATTTACAAAGTGTAAACATTTCTTTCCTTTGCAGGTTCTGGTTTTTCAAGTTTGCTGCAATGGTGGCCATCACAGTTGGCGCGTTCTATATTCCAGAAGGGTCTTTCACTTCTGGTAATGCATCTTTGTTTACAACACAATACATTTACACAAAACAGTATTTTGCAGTTTTATAAAGCTTCTGTATACTTTTGTATTTGAAGACGGTGATTGTTAATCACAATTGGAGAGATAACGTCTCTTCTCCTGAGATCTTGAGAGAGCGAATAGCTATCCATCAATACAATTCCATCCAAATACACCTCTTGACAAAGAGATACGAAATCTAATCAACCACTACCACCTAACATCAAGCAAATCGTCCTTGAGCGCTGCCAGAGCTCTTGTACATTTGGGCTTTAGTTACTCAGAGAAATGTGGCAGATTTGTCGCTCATCTCACCAAAGAACCTTTGGAATGTAATCTGCCTTTAAAACAATCATTCAGTTTAAATAGAAGCCACATGGTCTCATGGCAGATTTTTACATGACCTTCACAAGTGTAAATTCAAAAGAAAGCCCATCGTGCATATTATATAAACTTCTACAGACATTCAACCAAAAAGTGAACCACTGTGAATTCTACGGAGGCATTGAAGCGATCCACTGCACGTCAACTGAAGCCATTTTCTGGCTCGCTGATCTGCACGTAATTTTTAAGTTGCTTTTCATAGAGCCATATACAATAAAATTAATTGGTATTAAATATTATTTGGTTCTATCGGTAAAGTCACATAGGGGAAAAAATAAAATAAATAAAATCACGACGTTTCGATTGCAACACAAGCACTCATCATCGGGTGTGACAACCACAGCAAAAAATGTTTTACTGAAGTGGAAGAGATGCCAGAGTTAGGGCAGTTAAATAAGTCAGAGAGGGGGTCGTCACACCTGATGACGATTGCTTGTGTTGCAATCGAAACGTCGTGATTTAATTTATTTTATTTTTTCACCTACGTGACTTTACTGAAAGAACCAAAGAATATGGATCCTTGCAGTCACGAAAACTTCAAATTTAGAATGGTATTAAATAGTTCACCTATTTCATTAATTGATGTGCTTTGGAATGTTTTACTTAATTGACTAATGTTTATAGATTGTGTGTACATGGATATTTGTACAAACATTGTAAAATTCTTATGCCTTTCTAAATTTGCTTTCCCACAAGTAGAAATTTGAGCAAAATTTTAGTAAAGGATGTGGCTGGCAAGGTTCATATTTCTAGACATGTACGGTATATGCTTATAACTAAATGACTACCAATGTTGCCCATTGTCATCAGATAAGGAGTGTTAATCCTGAATAACGCTGGGATGGGTTATCACCATGCACATATTGTTATCCGGCTGTGGCACTATGTCGTGGCAGTTTCATCAAAATATGTTATACTGCACTTCTATGTTTCCAGATCTATCCTCCATGCCTCCACCAAACCGCACTGACCAGTGTCGTGAAAATATATCCGGCACTTTGCAAAATCTTTATGGTTTCAAAAATTATATATTTGTGTGTTCACCTGTTTTTTTTTATGGCATACAGGTGGCACGGTGGTAACACCTGGGTTTCCTCTGGGTTTTCCAGTGCCTTCCCAAAGCTAAAAACAATAACTGGTATTGGCCAAACATCCCAATGATGAAACAGTACCTGCAAATTACTCAATTAGGATTACACATCACAATATCACCCCCACTCCGAAATGCTATCAGGACCCTCTGGAAAAAAGTGTTAAGACTTTGTGAAAAGTTACTTGTAAACAAGTGTGATTAAAAATATGTGATGCAGTGTTGCTTGCATGTGCTCAAGATTTCGACTTTTGCCTCGCTCCCTCATTCTTCACCCACACAGTGTGGTTCTACATGGGAATGTCCGGAGCCTTCTGCTTCATCCTTATCCAGCTTGTACTGCTCATTGACTTTGCCCACTCGTGGAACGAGTCATGGGTGGAACGAATGGAGGAGGGCAATTCACGGTGTTGGTATGCAGGTGAGTCTCCCCATGCCGAATTGCATAACCTGAGATGCCAAGGTGGCAAGATGTTTAACTACCTCACCTGGTATGCAGGAGGTCGTGGGTTCGATCCCGACCCTGACACCTGTAAATTTGGAGTTTGCATCTTCTCACCATGGTTGCGTGATTTTTTTTTTTTTCTCTGGGTCCTCCGGTTTTTCCCTCCACACTTAGAAACACGCGTTTAGAGTATTTGTCTGCTCTCAGTTTCCACGTGATAGGCCACTTCGTTGAGCTATCATTTGTGGCCAGGCCGCTTCTGAAAAAGAGCTATATAGCTCAGTGGCCCTTACCTGCTAAAATAAAAAAAGTTTCATATTTTAAAGCCAAAGCCCACATTTGGGTTCTGCCTTGGTTGTTTCTAATGATAGTATCTCCTTAAATGATTAAATCTTAACTTGGGATTATTATCTTACATATAAGTTCACACCCTTTTAACCTCACCAGTGTCCTTCATGTCACTTGTGTCAGTTGATGTGATTTAATAATAGCTCATGGCATCGTAAAAGTGTAAACACCTCAAAAAGACAACCTACTTTTGAATCTGGAAGTGCATTTCTCCCCTATGCAGCGGTGAAGTCATCAACAGAGTAGCATATAGATGGTGGGCTGCAAAACAGCAGGGAAGTATTCCATTTGAGATGAGCTTATAACACAAATCTTAGCATTTTACAAATCGCAACCAAGTAATGCTTTAAAGTCGTCATTAAAGCACAATCAATCATAAAGTTTCTAATACTAAAAAACATTCATCGTCAAAGCCTGCATTGAGTGCGTAAAGCTTTTTTTATATAGATATATAATTTCCAGGATACAAAAGTTGAACCAGTTGGAACCTGGCATTACAGTAGTGTTATGTAATAGAGCATATTTCAACACATTGTATCTTGATGTACAGAAGCATTAATGAAGCATTCAAGTTTTTGGCAGGCTCCTGGAAAAGAGTTGAAACTCAATGAGGATTTTCTTTGTAAAAAAGCATAATACGGTGGGTTAAAAAGTTTCCCCCTTCTTGTGAACTAGAGGTCACTTGATGCCTGATGGGATTTTAGAGGTAGCTCTGATATCTGCTTCCATTGCCATTCTCCAACACAAAATGTCGTACTGGTCTGCGAAAGATCCAGACAGGTACTGCATCTCATGCTGATGGAAGGGAGATGGTAACCTACAGTGAGGGGGAAAAAAGTATTTGATCCCCTGCTGATTTTGTACGTTTGCCCACTGACAAAGAAATGATCAGTCTATAATTTTAATGGTAGGTTTATATGAACAGTGAGCAGTTATCACAGATATCCAGTAGAATAAGGGGATGGGAATTAAAAAAAGGGATGTTTGTGTGAATAAGTAGATTAAATACCAATTAATTATGCTTTTTCCGCAATGGTCTGAACACAGTATGGGCGGGGGGGGGCGGGGGATATAATTGTTTTACCTTTTAAGATGTTCCTCTTGATTGCAGCTTTGCTGTCGGTGACTGGAATCAACTACATGCTATCTCTCACTGCCATCGTGCTCTTCTACATTTTCTACACGACGAGCGATGCCTGCGCAATGAACAAATTCTTCATCAGCTTTAACCTGATCCTGTGCATCATTGCCTCCACCGTCTCCATCCTCCCTCGCGTCCAGGTGATTTTAAATGCCGTAACTCGCCTCTCGACAGCCTTGGGCCTGCAGCATTTGGTTCCTGCTTATCACACGGCGCACATTGATACGTTGCGGACAATTAATGGGTGAAATGTTACTCAGATGTGGATATAAACGCGATCATTATTTTGGTTACGTAATGTATTACAATATTTTTAACAGCTCGTATGAAGCTTAATAAAAAAATATTATTTGGTGATGCTGTTGCCATTGGCCGTGGTGCACAAACTGGGAAAGAAATAAACACATTCGTCCATAACACTGCCTTTTTTTGCCGAGAAGACATCATCCGTGTGAGGGCCGCCACACATTTGAAACCATTGGGTTGGACAGCATGATGGGGTGTTTTCACATTTGAAGCAATTGGCGGGACCCCGGCGTCCCATCACTGCCCCCGGGGTGTGAAAAACCGCGTAGCGACACGAGTCTTGTTGCCTTACCGACAACAACACAACTAGTGGTCAATCGATTGGCCTCGTCGAGAGCTACTCGGGTCACTAAGTTTCGTAAAAAGTTGAAAAATTACATAAACACGTTAAATTCACCGCCTGGGGGGCGGGGCTCGCCTTGGCAAAGAGGCTGAGGATCGACGGCTGACCGGAGGGCGTCGTCGCCGCGCGCGACTGCGGCGGACGCCCCCCGGGGCTCGCGTTTGGCCGGTGGGGGTGGCGCCCATCGTGGTGATCGCCGCCTGCTGCTGCTGCTGGTGGCGCTTGTTGGCACGGCGAGTCTGGGCGGGCGGCACGTTGCTGTCGGGATCACGAGTGTGTGCGGACTGAAAAATAATTATTATTGACCTGATTTTTGCGGGATCCCGGGGTCCCGCCAAATGATTCATTCGTGTATTGTCGGGGCCGCACGTCAGGGTCCGCGCTAAAGGCCACCAGGGGCCGCCAGCGGCCAGTGCGCCTTGCAATAAAAAAACACTGGCTTAAGGGATCGGTGCCTTTTGTGTATCACGGTTCATAAATTACATGCAATTCTCTTCCAGGAAGTCCAGCCACGTTCTGGCCTCCTGCAGTCGTCGATCATCACTCTCTACACCATGTACCTCACCTGGTCGGCCATGACTAATGAGCCTGGTAAGGCCATCACTTATGATTGCTGGGCTCCTAGTTCGTATGGGCTCCAAGGTAGTCCTGAGAATTGCCAAAAAAGAACATCTCCTGTACAGCCTTTGAATAATTCTGTAACAATAATTACCACAAGCCACTTATTCGTGGCATTTTAATCATTGTAACTGTGTTGTTCATATATTAGTGCAGGGGATTCTTTCTCTGGGAAGCATGCATTTCGTGGATGTTAACATCAGGATTAATTCCTTTACAGCCCTTTATATAACCACTTGAGAGCTCACTGTGTGAAATGACCTCGGCATCCCATGGCGTACGCGTGTGAAAGAGAGGCTTTACACTTTCAGCAGGTTGCATGATTTGTTTATTTTCCAAGATAAATTGCTTAAAAATCTTAGCACGAGGCAATCCATTCCATTCATTTTGTACGATTTTGTTCAATGTGGGTGAGTTTTTCATTGTCGGTTAAATCTTGCCACATTGCCGTCGCTCAGTGAAGTACTTTGGTCTGCTCGCAGTTGTTTTCCTCAAGTCAGCATTTTTGTTTTATAATGTTTGCGTGGTTTTTTTGTTGTTTGTCCTTATTATGGCAGAGCGGAAGTGCAACCCCAGCCTGCTCAACTTCCTTCAGCAGAGCCTGGTGCCCGTCTCGACCAACGGTTCCGTTACACCCACGGCCCCCGCGCCAACCGCGCAGTGGTGGGATGCCCAGAGCATTGTGGGGCTGGCCATTTACTTGCTGTGCATCCTCTACTCCAGGTGTTGCAGTCAGATCCGCGGCTGCGTCGCACAGGAATCAATCTGCGCCAACACTGGCATCATACTGTTTTTCGGAAGTTGCCGCGTTGCACGCTCGATTTTTACGTTTCACGGTTTTTTTTTTTGCTCTTCTTCGGTGCTTTATCTAAGTTTGTCTGTTCGTGCGCTTCTAGGTAATTGTTTTTGAATAATGCGTGCAAAATACTGCACTTCTCGGGTGAAGACTCCATGTGCAGCTGGATGGGAAGTGTTGCTCACGCTCGGTGATATAATTTGCTTTCTCAGCCATGTCACGCTGGGCGTGGCTTGTAGGGGGTTCCCCATATTCGAGAGGGAGGATTTTTATTTGAGGGGGGGGTGGGGGGACGACGACGACGACTGCCTTTTCATGAAGGGCCCCGAGCAATGGATCGAAAAAGTAGTAGATTACGATTTTCCACGAATGAATTAAATTAATCGACTTAACTGTTTCTTGTTCCGAGACATCTGCAAGTTGCAGGGTGGGGTCCCGTTCACCGCTGAATCTCGGGAACGCGCAAGCGGTTAGCATGAATTTAATTTAGAGAGGCATGGCACCGTTGTTTTTACTCGCCGCCGAGAACTGTAGCAACACGGCCGCACTCTAATAACTGTGCCACATGCCCTCCCGCATGGCCTTGTGGTGGGGAGTCTCAGTACACCTTCCGACCTGAAGACGTACTGATAAAGTTATCTTATTTTACATTGTCTTCCGAATTCTGTTCCGATAACGTCGACATATATACAAGTATGTCATCAGAATGGGAAAGGGTTAATTGTCCCAACTCTACTTTCTTTCAATGCGCTGCCGTCGTTAGATTTGGCGACAACACTTGAACATCGGGGAGTGCTCACGTCCGCCCCCCTGCTCGCTGCCTCCCCTTCCCACAGCATCCGCACGTCCAACAACAGCCAGGTGAGCAAGTTGACGCTGTCGAGCGGCGACGCCACGCTCATCGATGACGCGAGTTCGGGGAGCTCAGCCGAGGACGGGAGGGAGGGCGGCGGCGCTGGCTCACGCCGCGCCTTGGACAACGAACGGGACGGAGTGCAGTATAGCTACTCCTTCTTCCACTTCATGCTCTTCCTCGCCTCGCTCTACATCATGATGACGCTCACCAACTGGTACAGGTGAGGAGCATGGGGCGCGGTCTCGTCTGAGTGCTGTCTGCTTCGTTTTAATTTCCCAGTTGTGGGCAAAAACTGTCTGGTAATTTACCCAGGCGATTGCAACATGTTCTGTCTGTTTTGATGCATAATAATGGATTATCTTTCAAAACCCCACATCAGGATGCTTTGTCCTAAGGGTTCGGCATTGGAATGTTTGACTATTTCTTGTTTTAGGAATGAGATAAAACTAAAGTACCAAGAGCAAGGAAGCAAAATCATACACCTGCATGGATTTTGTAATGCTCTCCAACATATAGACATGTATACTCTTTGGTTCTTTCGGCAAAGTCTCGTAGGTGACTTTACCGAAAGAACCACAGAGTATGGATTTCTGCAGTCACGAAAGCTTCAAATCAATATAGATGTCTTCGGAAGTGTTAATTAGCGATAACAGCACTCGAACTAGACAGGCGGGAAGCAGTACATCCATAGTTTTGGTGGCAGGATGTTAACCACCTCGCCTGGTATGCAAGAAGGTCGTGGGTTCGATCCCGACCCTGACACTTGCATATATTTCGAGTTTCCATGTTCTTCCTGTGGTCACGTGGATTTGTTTCCGGGGTCCTCCAGTTTTTCCCTCCACATTTAGAAACACGCGTTTAGAGTATTTGGCTGCTCTAAATTTCCACATGATAGGCCAATTCATTGAGCTATCATTTGTGGCCAGGTCGCTTCTGAAAAGGAGTGATGCAGCTCAGTGAGCCTTAGCAGATCAAATTCAAAAATGGTAATAAAAAAAAATTGGATTTTTTTTTTATATGTCACGACGAGACGTAACAGGGCTCGGATAGTGACTCTGCCAGGGAGGGCGTGCTTCAGCCGGGAGGGCTGGGACCCCGATGCAGGTCCTGTCACTGCTCGATTGTGTCTCCATGTTTTCGTTGATGCTTTGATTGATTTTGTCAGTTTTTTCTGGAGTATGTCCCGTGAATAGCAACACAGCTTCATACCTAAAGTTGTGTTTATATTGGATAATCTTGGTGAGAGTTATCGTGCCCCAACGTTCGAGACAAATGGACAGAGCTAATGTGGAAACCATTTCAATAACCTAAGTTGGTAAGCATAAATACACCCGTCATGTGAGGGGATCATTCTCAAAGATCTGCACAGATCGGTTTATGAATCTATTTGCTGTCCTGTCAACTCCTGGCTATCTTGCAGTTATGTGGTTTTGGGATTTTTACAAATCAGTGATCCGCCAATACTTTAGAACTGTGTTCAAGCAGATGAGAGAAACTCCATGTCATGATTATTCATGTACGTGCTGGTTTCACAGCTCGTATTTCAGATTGGCTAATCACATGCAACTGAAATTAGAAGTGAAGTATCACATGAGTTTCTATCTATAGTCCCCCTATTTCGATTTAAAGCTTTCGTGACTGCAGGGATTAATCTTCTTGGTTCTTTCGGTGAAGTCACGTAGAAGGGAAATAATAAAATAATAAAAATAAAACGATAAAATAAAATTCTCACGACGTTTCGGCCACAACACAAGTAGCCTTCCTCAGGTGAAGAAACAACTGTCGGAAAGACATTCGAGCGCTGTCTTTCCGACAGTTCTGTTTCTTCCCCTGAGGACGGCTGCTTGTGTTGTGGCAGAAAAGTCGTTAGAATTTTATTTTATTATTTTATTATTTCCCTTCTACGTGACTTTACCAAAAGAACCAAGAAGATATAGTCCCCCTTTTTTAATGTGGAAATTCCGAAGCCACTTTATAGCCTAACTTTAAATTATTATTAACACCTACGGTATGAATGGCTTTGATAGATTATCTCATCTGGTGGGCTAAAGAAAATTCGAATGTATTGTGGGGGGGGAGGTGTTAACAGAAACAGTTTGAAGATATTCTTGGTTCTTTTGGTAAAGTCACGTTGAAGGGAAACAATAAAATAATAAAATATATATAAGATAATTTTATTGTTTTATATATATTTTATTATTTTATTGTTTCCCTTCAACGTGACTTTACCGAAAGAACCAAGAATATGAATCACTGCAGTCACGAAAGCTTTAAATAAAAATTTAGTTTGAAGATAGTTTTTTTTTGTCTTTGATCGATTGTTGTGTCATCCACAGCCCTGACTCAGACTTCAAGACTCTGACGAGCAAGTGGCCGGCGGTGTGGGTGAAGGTCTGTTCGAGCTGGGTGTGTCTCTCCCTCTACATCTGGACTCTCGTAGCTCCCCTGGTGCTCTCCAATCGCGACTTTGACTGACCGCCGCCTCCCTTAGTTTGAGACATTAAGCTCACCTAGGATGCAGTCACCGTTAATATCAATATTAATGTTTCCCGTTATCGTTTTAGTCTTGCATTGGTTTCCCTACAAGAGGTTGCTTTGTGACGAACTGAGATCGGGATGGCAATTTGTCAACAAATTGACGAGTGTTAACGTACGATAGATGAATTTTGCTTTTGCAGTTGATGGATGCCACATTTACATAATCATGAGTTTACAGGAGCATATGTTATCTTCGATTAAATAACTCCCATTTGATTATAACACAAACTATAGGTAACGCGATACTCCGTTAATGATAATACTTAACGAATTTATTTTACGCACATTGACTATTGTAGCACGTTCTTATAGTTAAGCACTGCAGGTAGTAAAGCTTGACAAATATGAAGCAAGTTACGTGGTAGAGCTGCAACAATTATGCAGTTGGAGAGACTGTATTAATGCACGGGAGGCTATCGCAAACACATTACACTATTTACGTAACAGATGAAGGCAAGAGCCTCTTGAGTTGTGTTAGTAAATTTATGCACAAATTCTGTGAGTGATATACATCAGAATGATTGATCTTTGTAATGAAAAAAATATTATCATACAAGATTTATTGGAACTCCCTCTGGGGAAATGGGTCAAAGTTCAACACTGTAGCACTATTAATTTAAGTGATGTTTAACTGGTGTGGTGGAATGAGTTAAGGTGGATGTGGAATATGGTGAGTGGGTGGTAGGATTGATAGCTAAGCTTGATGTCTTGGAAGAATTTAGCTGAAAATGATAAAAAAAACACTTTTAAAGAGGTAATTGGGAAGACAGAATGAACTGCAAAATGTGCTGTTATGAATTATTGTGACAGACAAGACTTGGGCAGGAAACATGAAAACATTTATTTAACAATTGGAAAACGAATTTTTAAATGTTACCACCATCGTGATATTATTAATTGGATTCGTTAACATTTTGTAATTACCTAAATACGTTTTAGTGATTTATTACTCATACATGACTAATGTCAAAAGAACATGCAGATTATGGAAAGACTGTGATAGCTGCTTGATCTATGAATCAGATCCTGCTGTGTGATCTATGAATCAGATCCTGCTTGGTTTGCACACTAAAATAGTCCAACTTGAATCCCTTGATAAGGATGGGGGGAGAAAATGTCAAATAAATGCAATGTCTCAAGCTATAAGGGAAGATAATGTATGGTAACTCATAGGCATATAAACACAGACCATGGCGTGCCGGTGTCCAGCACAGAGAACACTCTTTACTCGTAGCCATAAGTCCAATTATTCTGCATGGCATAAAGAACAAAATAATAAGTACACAAATGTGTATGTGGTAGGTGTCGGTCCATTTAGGTCCAGAGCAGATTTCTGGCATAGAGGTGGCTTCGGCATGTGAAGAAACACAGCAGAGGTTGCATTTAAAATGTGGGCAACGTGTGTCATGCTTGTTGATGCTGCTGCACAGCCATCAAGCTACACTTACATGGATTTGATGTGCAATTTCACGGCCTAAATAGTGCGACAGAGGCGTGCAACTTACAAAAAAAGTTAAGCAGTCATCACTGAATATTTTAGCTTCTGTTAAGGTGTGTAGTTTGTTCCACGATTTCTTAAAATGTTTTGTGCTCGTGGTTTTCACTGCAAGTTTTGTTTCAGGTACGCTCGAGGAATTGGTTTAACGTCGGGATTACGGAGTTTGTGGAAACTTAACGGGTGCACATTCAAACTGCTCCTTTGCTAGCAGCGTGTATTGTCATTTTATTGAAGCAGCTATTCTAAAACTAGGGCAACCGGTTTTTGCTTTTTCAGGGCATTTTACACAATTCTATTCCATGCCCCTAATTTATTGTGCCATTTTATAAGTTCCCTGTTGCTGACCATATGTATATATGTACGGAACTGGTTGCAAACTGAAGTACACCGCAAATGTTTTGACTTGAGGAATATTATTTGCATATTCTGTCGATAGTGGTGTCAACAGGTTTGGCCATGATGCCATCTTGAATATTCTCTCTTGTAAGCCTGAATAGTGGAGTCTATTCGACACAATTTCATCACTGCTGCTTTATTAAATACATTCGTTGTGTTAATTTAAACATTTTCCTAAATAGTTCTGATCATGTACTGTTAGTCATGACTAACATTTAATTACATTTTGAATAGCTTGTGGTTTTGTTTTAGAATTTGACTTCTTTGTGGATGTAAAATTAATCCTGTAGAAAAAAAATCAGTAATTGTGTAATTGCTATTACTTCCCAATTAGGCATGCATGGAAAAATCAAATACCGGATGCAATTGTGCTTGTAGTACTGTAAAATGAATAGTTTGGCTTCACTAATATTTGTAAATTGCTTAAAACTGTGATATAATTATAGGTAGACAATTGTTATATGGATGTTGCCGAGATTTTCGATCAAGTTGAAACAGTGTTGACGAGATGTTTACCATAATAATAATGTAGCAGCTTGTGTGAACAGTGCTGTGCTTTTAATGGTAATGGGAGTGTTGGTTGTGATGTGTTTAGAGTGTACTGGTTGGACATATGTTGTGTCACGTGTACGGACCTCTGTCGCCTCACGGTAGGTATAAGTAGCACTGATAAAAATCGTGTTCGGATGTAATTTCTGCTTCATGCATGCACTCTATTTAACAATAGCACCAGTATTAGATGTGTTGCCCCGGTATGTACTGTATTTGCTCAGTAAACAGTAAAATATTCAAAACACAATGGTTATTACTTTGTATTCTTATCTGATGTACTCATCTGAGGAATATGAAATGTACAAAAGCATGGCTACAAAGATTATTACTTTTAAAATACTGTCGTATGTTGCATCACGTAGCATTTCCCATGAAATAAATGTGCAACAAAGGATATTAAGAATACAACACTGTAAACTGACATTCTGACTATTCTGTACAATGTGACTTTCTTCCAAGTACTCGTGACAATGCTTTAACAGCACACCAGGCTACCGTATATTGTATATATGGAATTATGGATTTGGCTGACTGTTACTGTGCCTACACTAAAGGTAGATTGTCTCATCAGATACACTTCAAATACACCTGATGCGTTAATCACTTTAGCGATATTAACAGCTGCAATTTAATTGTGTGTAAAACGCTGATGTAAGGGCTATAGACACCACTACATGGGCGTGGGTGCACTAAACAGGAAAAGCCTTTGGACCCGTTGCACATGTCCAAAATATCCCTTTCGATCTGATTTTAGGTGAATGTGTGCTTCTGTTTCCCTTGTAAACAACAGGATAGTGTTTCTGCCGTTTTAGCAAGGTATAAATATAGCCCTTTGGAAGAACATTTAAAGCACTACTCCATAATGTTTAACCACGATGGGAATATCGCAACATTTCGTTTGAAATATGATTTTGCTGTAAAAAATTGTTTTTTTAAAAATCCAATCAAGATACATTCTCATTCCAGAATTTACAAGACACGGAATCGCATTCCTGCCCAAGGCACATAAACACAAAACAGGCTTCTGTTTGCATTGTATAATAATTTTATGTTTGTCTATTTTCATAGAAATGCAGCATGAGCAAATGAAACTTAACCTGGGGGTGCTTTTTTTTGATGACATTTAACAATTGGCTTGTTACTTTTCACAATCAAAAGTGGTGTTTTGTGCACTCAAGTTCTGAATGAAAACATTTTTACACAACTAGCACTGCATAAAATACAAATATTTGCATTGTTTACACAATATAGTACTGTATATTCCTATAGGTTGAAACTAAAAAAACAAATGTTATTTTGCGTAAGAGTTTACTTATATTAATCATTGGTTGGAGTGGTTGCGTAGCAATTTTAATGTTGCAATATAACCACAAAATTCTCTGGACTGCGACACTTCCTCCCCCCCCCCACCCCCCTTACGTAATTAACAAAATGTAAAAGTGAAGATTTTATAATCCGCGAGTGATTAGATTTGTCTAACTTTATTGACACCGGGTATTTACCTTCCAGTGTCTAATCTAGATAAAATGGTACTGTCGTTGCTGCATTAGAAAAAAAAAACAATAATCTATGAAATCCAGTTTCGTAACTTGTTCTGGAGCGTCCCACTTCGAGGTGACATGGTGCTATGGTTTATCTTCATCACCTACGCTTTCATTGCACACGAGGGTTGTTACTGCTTTTGATATTTTACCACTTAAAAGCGGTCCTACTGATGTATGGCTATACTGCACCCACAACGTTATGGCAAATAGAGAATATAGGTAAACTTACGATGTTTTCTCACGCCCTTTTTTGTGCCTACAAATCACGTAAGATATACTATGCCGTAAATTTGTGGATAGGTTCATCTTGAAGTAGAAAGCCAAGCATTCTTCAAAGTCCCTAGACAAGGTTCAGTGATGTAATTAAAATATGAGATAATGTTACGTAAATTACAAGTAACTCATACATGTCTCCTCGAAGTCTTATGAAAGGTAATTTTGGACAAGTGACCAGGATGAATGATGACTGGCTGTAAATTACGATGACGGAGGGAACACGGTAAAGGTGCCAGGGTATAAGGGAGACCACATGGTTCAAGCGGTCATCAATCGCTGGACGGGATGGAGACTATTTTGGTTTGAAGATGTAGAAACGGACCGAAGTGAAGATACAACCGCCAGGAGATAGTGAAGGAAACATGCCTCTCAACAGCTCAAACTACCAATGGGACTAGATCATTTTTTTCCAGCTGTGGTGACGATGGCACATTACAGTATATGTTGATATAAACAGATTCACGTATAATTGGATTTTAAGTGAAATTTCTGAAGGGCTGCTGTTCGCGGAATAAATATAAGGAGTGTGTATACATTTGACAAAATCAATGGGAAAATAAGTGGAAAATAGTTTTAAATGTATAGTTAAGTGCTCAGATAAAATCAATATAAATTTTACAAGACCCCCAGACCTCTGCAGGTTGGTTGGCCAATTTTATTATCACGCTTGTTGAGCCAGGATGGCCTCAACGAGTATCATGACTATTTCACCAGGGCCCTGCCAAGCATTTCGTAGGTGGCGATGATCATGTACATTCCAAATGTGGAAATTGCGGTGATTTTTTTTTAACAATTTGGACCAAGACGCAGGCACATAATGGCTTGCTCTTGCGAATCACGTTACAGGATCTTTAACTTAACATGTCGGCTTTCACGACCAATACTCATGAAAGTTATGTTGGGTTAGATCGCGTAAATATAAATAAATGTCGTTAACCCACCACCACCCGACACAGCCAATTGGTAAAGTTTGTCACGTAATTAACAAATTGTAAATGTTGCGGCTTTACGTTACAAACCTTACTAATCGGCTGTCGGGTGGTGGTGGGTTAACGACACATTTACATTTACGCGATCTAACCCAAAATAACTTGTATTAGAATCTTAAACATGCATCGTGAAAGCGGTCGGTGTGTATTTGCACGGTTAATACCGCAGGAACAACCAGAGTGGTCGCTGGAGTAAAATCATGAAACTCTGCCACGAGCGGGGAAACGCACGAACACAGGGCCACGTCACCGCCCAATGAGCTGATAATTATATTTGGCAGTGGATGGCAGATGTTTAGAATTACACATTTTGTTACACGTTGGTAAAATAGCTAAGGCTTTCACATCCAAGACTATCCTGTCCAGTTGGTTAAAATATAGAGAACTCAACTGAATAAAAGCATGAATTTGCTTTTAAATATTATGGCCATAAGTTTGAACATTATACAGCAAGATATATGTGCGAGTATATACATGAGTAAACATTGAAATTACATTCAATTCAAATGAACAATATTGCTTAGCCCGCTCCTGTAAAAAAACTTACATTCTTATGACTGTTCATGTGAGGTGCAAGTCAAGTCGTTGACCATATTTGGTCGATTTAACAATGATCCTCGATTGAAACGCATACTTAAGAAGCAACATTTTCCCATATAAATGTCCAACTATACAGGACACTGGGCTATTGTAAAATGAAAAAAGGATTTATCAACACCGAAAAAAATCTGTAAATATGCAGATGCAAAGGCAAGTAATTTTGTATTTTTTCCAGGTTCTAGCTAATTAAGACCTTGGCTATACGGAGCAATGGAATCTCAAGTGTTAACAAATGCTTACGAGGCAGATATTTTTAGTGAGTAAACAATTCTGTGGATCGGTTATGACCATTAACACTTAACTTAAATGCATCACTTGTTATGTATCCTAGAATGCTACCACTAAGGCAATTGAATTTCAAACTTGAGAACTCATACAAGCCATTTTTTTTAAATGAAATGTATTATTGCATCTTTCTCTGCATTTCACATACCTCTAGTTGACATTGGCAGGCTGCAAATAAATCTAGTGCCGTTTTATCGTATGTACAAGAAACCTTGTCAACATTTACAAAATAACATGCTATATACATATAAACCACTCGTAACAGTGAAAACACAGCATCCACAATGATGTGTATGTTCCACATTAAGAATGTTGCCTACGCCCTTGACCACATCAAGCTTTACATGGCTATTATTGTAGCAATAGAATGGTGCATCGGGAATATAGCCATAGTCACACAACTGATTTTACATGTTCCAGAAATAATATGAAGCCAGTTGCTCACTGCTGCTTCGTGCCGTAAAGGATGCCATCATATGGACAACAGTTCTTGCTCTATGCTTACAAAGACTCACGACACCAGGCACGAACTTTTATGGCAATCTTGACTAGGTCCACCTTGTAAACGAGCCCATGGTGGCTCCAAGTATTTACCTGGTAAAAGAAACTCTCCAACTCCAACCTCAGGCCTATAAAACTATTAAAAATTCCTCCCAGCCAATAACATTCCAATGGCTGAAAAAGACAATAGTTGTTCATTAGGATGTTAAATGAGAAGGGGGTACCGCTGTGCAATTACTAATGATTTTCTCAGTGCCTTTGCCAACCAGATCTAAAAATGTAACTGTGAGATGGTCATGGTGTGGAGCAAACAAGCGTTGAATGATTGTGCTAATTGGCGATTGAGGGCATTGGCTTGCCACACATGGGAAAGTAGTTTTAACTTTCGCTGCAATTATTTACCATCTCAACAATGCTGGCTTATTGCTCCTCCAACACGGGCACAACTTAAAGTTCCCAGGTCACCCACTGGCCCCCGCGGTAGGCCACGAATGTCAGTGCCAAACAACATTTGCTTGCTTGCTTGCGTATAATGCATTAAGTGGGACGCCCCAAGCTTAACGGCACGCCATGTTTAGAGTTTGGCGGAAGCCTCTTCAGCTTCGTCGCTGTATTGCGAAGCGGCCCTGCTTGTCCCAATCTGAAGCTGCTGTCCCTCGGTCCCGAGCGCCGGCGTCGGTGCAATTGCCACGGGTCCCCCAAACTCGCGCAGGAAGAACGGCTCCCAGTCCAGCAGGGTGAGAGCCCAGCGCTGGGCGTCCAGGGACCCAGCCGCCCCTCCATACTCGTTGGGCAGGACACCTGGGGGCAGGCTCCTGTGCAGCGAGCTCAGGTCAGAGCCGTGGAAGTAGTACTGGAGAAAGCAAGACGACACGGTCGATGGGTTTAGGCTCCGTTACGTATTCACACCGGTGTGAATATGCATGGTGCAATACCACAGACGGAGGTAACATGATCTTATGACGATGTTATCGCACCCATAACACGATCGATCAAACATCCCAATGCGGTATCCTGTTGAAAATAAAAGACTCGGGAGTTTCTCCAAACATCTAGTTTTCAAGCACATGCCATGAATACAAATTAAACCAATAATCTGAAACCTGCTACGTGCACAGTGTTTAATTCACGTTCATAGAGACAAAATGATTCAGAGACACGGGAAATCTCAAACAGACGTGGAGATAACCAGAACCCGTAGCAATAATTTCCCTAGCTTTGTGGTCCCACACAGTAAGCCCTCTATTTACGTTGCTTTTATTTACGTTTTCTCACTGTAACACTACCAAACGAATGAGGGAACGTAATTCGACTTTAAATTCATTGATTCACTACAACGTTTTGAAAAATTGAAAAAAAAGAACGGAAGTAGGTTTGGGCAGCATGCGCGACGACGCGTTGCAACAGCGCGGGAGCTCAAGCCTCACTAGTATCTACATTTCAAAACTAACATTGCCAAAACAACATTGCCAAAATAACATTGCCAAAACAACATTGCCAAAATAACATTGCCACAACATTGGCAAACTCTCATTGCCAAGATAGCATTGACAAAATATAATTGCCGTAACATTATATTCTTGGTTCTTTCGGTAAAGTCACGTAGAAGGGAAACAATAAAAGAATAAAAATGTATTGTTTCCCTTCTACGTGACTTTACCGAAAGAACCAAGAAGATTAATCCCTGCAGTCACGAAAGCTTTAAATTGCCATAACATTGCCAAACTAACTCATTGCCACAATAACTCCTAAACCCATTACCAAGCTGCAGCGTGCACAAAATTCTTTGGCACGTGTTGTGACGGGTACTGCAATATCCGACCGTGTCCGTCCAGTGCTCGCCGATTTAATACGTAATGAGGTTGCACTCATTACACACAAAGTGCTTGCCACAAATGAACTATGGCACCTTGCTGATCTCGTCAAGGAGTAAAAACTATCACGCAAACCCAGTCATCCTAGCAGTGCCGTTTGGGTAACCATCGAACAAAGATGGTCACTGCATCGCACACTTTCCAATGCGCTTCTAAGGCTGTCTGGAATGCTCTTCTTTCCAATGTCAGGAAGCCACTGGAATTATGGACTTTTAAATCTAGACTGAAAACACATTTCTTTCGAAATTATTTTGTGTTTAGTTTATCAATTCCCCGCACCTGCGATTAGCATGGTTAGCTACATACGGTGCGAAAAAATTCAACATACATACTCCCCTATACCCCTACCCTAACCAGGCCTCTAAATACAATGTCTGCCACGATCTCTGGTATCTGTATTAATGTATATTATTGATTTAAACTTCTTATATAACGTCTTTTCCGGTACTTAATATTTTTTCTGAAAATTTTGACCAAAGAATTACCCCTAGGAACGTAACCTTTATTTATATCATTGCGTCAAGAGTAAAACATGATTTACGTTTTGATTTAAAGCTTTCGTGACTGCAGTAATTCATATTCTTAGTTTTTTCGGTAAAGTCACGTTGAAGAGAAACAACAAAATAACAAAATATATATAAAACAATAAAAAATTCTCACGACGTTTCGACCATAACTCAAACGGTCATCATCAGGTGTGATGATGACCTCATCAGGTGTGATGATGACCGTTTGAGTTATGGTCGAAACGTCGTGAGAATTTTTTATTGTTTTATATATATTTTGTTATTTTGTTGTTTCTCTTCAACGTGACTTTACCGAAAAAACTAAGAATATGATTTACGTTGTTTCGCGTCTTCCAGCGACGTAGCCCCAACGTAAATAGAGGACTTACAGTGAGGGAAAAAAGTATTTGATCCCCTGCTGATTTTGTACGTTTGCCCACTGACAAAGAAATTGTCAGTCTATAATTTTAATGGTAGGTTTATTTGAACAGTGAGAGACAGAATAACAACAAAATCCAGAAAAACGCATGTCAAAAATGTTATAAATTGATTTGCATTTTAATGAGGGAAATAAGTATTTGACCCCTCTGCAAAACATGACTTAGTACTTGGTGGCAAAACCCTTGTTGGAAATCACAGAGGTCAGACGTTTCTTGTAGTTGGCCACCAGGTTTGCACACATCTCAGGAGGGATTTTGTCCCACTCCTCTTAGCAGATCTTCTTCAAGTCATTAAGATTTTGAGGCTGACGTTTGGCAACTCGAACCTTCAGCTCCATCCACAGATTTTCTATGGGATTAAGGTCTGGAGACTGGCTAGGCCACTCCAGGACCTAAATGTGCTTCTTCTTGAGCCACTCCTTTGTTGCCTTGGTCGTGTCTTTTGGGTCATTGTCATGCTTGACTACCCATCCACGACCCATTTTCAATTTCCCTGGCTGAGGGAAGGAGGTTCTCACCCAAGATTTGACGGTACATGGCCCCGTCCATCGTCCCTTTGATGCGGTGAAGTTGTCCTGTCCCCTTAGCAGAAAAACACCCCCAAAGCATGTTTCCACCTCCATGTTTGACGGTGGGGATGGTGTTCTTGGGGTCATAGGCAGCATTCCTCCTCCTCCAAATACGGCGAGTTGAGTTGATGCCAAAGAGCTCCATTTTGGTCTCATCTGACCACAACACTTTCACCCAGTTGTCCTCTGAATCATTCAGATGTTCATTGGCAAACTTCAGACGGGCATGTATATGTGCTTTCTCGAGCAGGGGGACCTTGCGGGCGCTGCAGGATTTCAGTCCTTCATGGCGTAGTGTGTTACCAATTATTTTCTTGGTGACTATGGTCCAAGCTGCCTTGAGATCATTGACAAGATCCTCCCGTGTAGTTAAGGGCTGATTCCTCACCGTTCTCATGATCATTGCAACTCCACGAGGTGAGATCTTGCATGGAGCCCCAGGCCGAGGGAGATTGACAGTTCTTTTGTGTTTCTTCCATTTGCGAATAATCGCACCAACTGTTGTCACCTTCTTACCAAGCTGCTTGGCAATGGTCTTGTAGCCCATTCCAGCCTTGTGTAGGTCTACAATCTTGTACCTGACATCCTTGGAGAGCTCTTTGGTCTTGGCCATGGTGGAGAGTTTGGAATCTCATTGATTGATTGCTTCTGTGGACAGGTGTCTTTTATACAGGTAACAAGCTGAGATTAGGAGCACTCCCTTTAAGAGTGTGCTCCTAATCTCAGCTCGTTACCTGTATAAAAGACACCTGGGAGCCAGAAATCTTTCTGATTGAGAGGGGGTGAAATACTTATTTCCCTCATTAAAATGAAAATCAATTTATAACATATTTGACATGCGTTTTTCTGGATTGTTTTGTTGTTATTCTGTCTCTCACTGTTCATATAAACCTACCATTAAAATTATAGACTGATCATTTCTTTGTCAGTGGGCAAACGTACAAAATCAGCAGGGGATCAAATACTTTTTCCCTCACTGTACCCTATTTGGAAGGCTGGCAATCACTATGATTGGGTGTTTATACAACAAACACCCAAATGTATAAAGTCTTCTAAAAGGCTCTTTGAGGCTTTTCTGACCCGCCCCTCCTGGACATCTATGGACGAAGAGCTTCATAGCTCATCAGATTTCTCCAGGATAAATAAAGATTTCGATATTCTGCATAACAACATTTTTTTAACCTCCACCCACAACGACCATACACTGCAGCCACGTAACAATGCATTGAGTCAACGATAACAATTAAATATCACACCCGGGATACAAGCATCATGTTGCGTGTTGAACAAATTATTTTCCAATCATACATGTGCATGTAACTATTTCACATGACCCATATGCTGCAACGGTAGAGAAATAATGTAATCTGGCTGCCACCTGATGATGACAGTTGTAATTACTGGCGAAACGTCGCACTCAGATTGTAAATGTTGTGGCTTTGCTCTGCAACACACACCGGTGTGCTGTACTCGTGACGACTTGCCATGTTCTGTTTACGTGGCAAACCTTACCGATTGGCTGTGTCGGGCGGTGGCGGGTTTAACGACACATTTATACTCACGCGATCTAACCCCAAAAAAACCCTGTATTATTAAAGAATGTATTGCCGAGTTACGACCCTGAATCAAGACAAATAAATGGTGAAGGCAAATCATGATACGCTTGATATAGTGGTTATTTATGTACATGTGTATTGTAGGGCAGTTAACACTGAACGAACCCTCTTCTGGAGTTTTTCCTTCAAGAAGGGCTTCACAATGGCAAAGATGGCTTTCATGATGATCGGTTCATTGAAAATGTTGACGGCTTTCACCCTCACGGGAAACGCATCCTGAAATAGAAACGGGCGAAAAAAGAAACCTGTCAGATGTAAACGTGCAGCCACTCCCCCGCCCCCATTCCTCCCCTGCGTTTGGTTCATTACTTTACTCCCATTTGCCTCTGTACGTCGCGCTAGGCATGACACCCCCCCCCCCCCCCACTAACGATACATCCCTCCAACTTGCTCCCCACCAGACGTACTCTCAATCAAGACACTCTCACAGATTACCACCCCATGAGTCACCCAACCTCCGCATCAAATACCACACCTCTTACAGCCTCGCTTGCCCCCCCCCCCACAACACTCATATCAAAGCATCACCTGTCCACTGTCTCTTCCTACACGTTTACCCCCATGTGGAATCCTAACTCTATTATGCTCCAACTTTGTGTTCCCCCACGCAACCCAATCTGAGTGTACGCTGTGCATTCGACTCGTTATTTTTCCCCTTTCAATAAAAGACTTCTGGGAAAACATTTAAACGTGAGGCCCAGTAATTGCCTCCTTGCGCCACTGCTGGACATCTGTGAAAAAGAGCTTTATAGGTAATCGAATTCCTCCAGTATAAATAAATATTCTGATTAGAGGAAACTCTAAAAAGTGTATTTTGGCCTCGTTTTCCACGCTGGCCAGACATATTGTAAGAGGTGGGAGCATCCACACTTGAACTCACCGCACGTGACCTGACAATTCTCCAACTGTGGTGTACCCATCATCTATACTGTTGGGTGGAGGAATTTGCTCGAAATGCGCCCATTGTTTCAACTGCCTGTGCCGAGAGAATGAACCGCTGCCCTCCGTCAGGTCAAGTCAATTTTATTTTTGCTTGCACACGCGGTGCCCTTCTGGCACAAAAGGTGCCACTCAAAGTGCCATCACATTCACACTCTAATTGCCAACTGACCAGAGTGTCCAAGTATGGTCAAATAATCCCCACGACCCACCTGGGTTATGGGGGGCTATCAGGGCACCACGAAGGGGAGATGTTAAATACCTCGCCTGGTGTGCAGGAGGTTGTGGGTTCGATCTTGACCATGACGCCTGTTGAATATTTGGAGTTTGCGTGTCTCTCTCTACCCATGGCCGCGTGGATTTTTCTTCGGGTCGTACGGTTTTTCCCTCCACATTTAGAAAACATGCGTTTAGAGTATGTGGCTGCTATAAATTCCCACGTGATAAGCCACTTCGTTGAGCTATCATTTGTGGCCAGATCGCTTCTGAAAAAGAGCTATGAAGCTCAGTGGGCCTTACCTAATAAAATAAATAAAAAATAGTTTAGTTCAGCTGCAGTGGATTGACAAAGGGGCTCTACTTGTCCACGTACATGCCGCATACAAGACGTGCCGCCTTCTTCTTCTTCTATATTGACGAATAGCAACAACTCTACGTTGAGGCGGTCGAGCCAGACCATTGTGTCAGGAGCACCGGAGCTCCGAGAGAGAGAGAGAGAGAGAAAGAGAGGGAGGCGACTACGACACGACCTGAGACCGAGACGGGCGGCGTGGAACCGACCTGCAGCACGGTGGCGACGCGGCGCACGAACGCGGGCCCCAGGTGCGAGGCGTGGGCCAGGCCCAGGCCGGCATAGTCGGCCAGCACCACCAGGCCGCACACCTGCGTCTCCTCCTGGCGCACCAGCATCTCCAGGGTCATGTAGAGCACGCGCAGCATGTCCGTGGCCGGCGCCACCGCCGGGTTCCACAAACCTGCGTTTGTCGGGCCCAAGCGCGGCAGCCCCCCCGCCCTCCGTCAGCACTCTGCTCAAGCTGACGCTGCCATGACGCCGTATTTAAAGAGGCTCCAGTCCTTGAACTTTCCGCAAGACCCGCAGCGTCTGTGTGGCGCGCTTCCGCAACGGCATCCCAGGGTGCCCTACGGTCAACAAGACTCCCGACAATAACATCTATCTAGCAATCAAATCCAGCTCGAGGATAAGCTTATGTAAAACCGATTTGTCTCACTTGAAAGGTGCGACTGTGCCTGCGTTCCTGACATAAGCTGGTGACAGACTAACAGAGGCAGGGAACGTAACGACTTAAGGCCCTTGTCCCCTCCTGATTTTAAACAAATCGCAACCTAAAGACTTTTGACTCTCGCCTTGATTCAGGCTCAATTGGAACACAACTTTTAATTCTAAAGCTAACCATAGTGCAAGCATTCATTCTTGCCCTAACCGTATACTTAACTATAGTTTTAACCAGAGTTCCAACACAGAATAGAACACGGGTCTTAATCATAGGCATAACTATTTACCTAACACAAGCTTTAATCGTAATACAAAAGCAAAACCTAAGCCTTCATATCCTATCCATAACCAAATGCATGCCATGCTGCAATATAGCAGCATGGAAATGCATGAAATGGCGATGGCATGGGGAGGCCTTCATCTATCAGTGGTTAGAACGTGGCTAATGATGATGATTATGACACAGCCTCCATTTCGGATTGGCTCACATCACTCAATGCTAGGACTTCTCAGCCTCCAGTTCTCACAACCGACAAAAGGTGCTGGTTTCGCTTTAACAAATCATCAGCTGCGGACATGTAACGGTCTAGTTTGCATTTAAATTAACATTGGCACAACGTAGTCGGTTGCGTGGGAAGACTGGCATTAGACAAACCCTGCTCTATACCAAGACCAACCCAAAGTCTGGGGTTTCTCAATCAAATGAAAAGTCATAATCGACATCAACATTTTGCATGCAAGTTGAACTGTGCGACCAAGTGTTTTCTCTGGTGGGTTAAGCAATGCAACTCTCATCACGGGGCTGTGTGCAGCCCTCACACACCAGGCCGCAGGACGATGATCCTCCGGCCCTGCGCGTCCGGCTGTGGCAGCGCCGTCACCACGCCAGCTTCCAAGACGTGGCGCACGCTCGACGGGTAGAAGTTGACGAACACGTCCGGCCAAACGCGCCGACACCTTCCCAAGGAAAAATTGGCAATCAAAAACAAAGATCCCCCGTATAGGGCCTCAACGGATTTTTGGGGCAAGTGCTGTTAGCGAGTGGCACCTATGAAGCACGGCACGGCAAAAGAGGGGGTGGGTGGCCAACACCACGCCCGCCTACCTTTGTCTCCCCAGTGGTGATGTTTACACAACCAGGTGCTCATTTGAGGCTGAGTCGACCTAGGGGAGGTACATAACCGGTTCTGATCATCGTCACTGGTGTTGGCCCTGAGCGAGAATCGAACTTGGGTCGCTGGGCTCGTAGCACAGTGTGCTTAACACTACACGACCACTTCCCCAAAAACGACAACCACTATCACCACTATCACCACCACCACCATCTCCTAAAGCCTTCGACGCGAGTGTAATTTCGCTTAAAAGAAAACACAACTCAAAACACAAATAGCTCTTATCTACCAGATAATTAATTATTCTAGGCTGCGTATCCCATGCTATCCAACACAGACAGCCAGGCACAGCTCAGTACACCTTTACGTGACGAAACTATGTTTTAGTTCATCAATAGTAATGTCACTAAAGCGTGCTATGGCGGTCCAGATAGTATTTTTTTCTCACTAACAAAGCTTTTCACATTTGCATTGAATCTTATTACATGTGATTAAGTACATGCAAAAGTTAATGGGGTTTGACTTTGCTAGGTAGCTCAGGGAGTGAAGCTACACAGCTTGGAATTCTTGGGGTTGAATCCCACTCTCCTACTCAAAGAAAAAGTAATGTTTTCACAGGACACATTAATGACCAGCGACCCCACCACCACCACCACAGCCCTGTTTCCACCTTCCACAGAAACAATGAGCAGCACTTACCTGGGTCCACACAAAGCACAGATGATGTGGATGCTTAATGCACAAGTGCAAAATAAGAAACTCCTGTTGGCGAACTGCAGCTATGAGCATGCAACTTCACACTGCACCAAATATAATGTGATGGGGTGGGTACATCTGCAACTCACCAACTCTCAGAAAGCTCAATTACTTAGAACTGAATCTGTAATCGTTAGTTGTTCTTCATTGGCCATAGGAAATCATCATATAATGGTCTCAGCCTAGTAACCAAATCCTGCATATAACGTCACATTGTGTAAATTGTGTTTGTTCATCTCAAGTGTTCTAGTGCAGTTCCTGTGGACGTTTGCATACACACAAACACTTGTGCACGTTTGATAGCGTAGGGCAAATCACCCCGCGTACAGCATGAACAGTACAACCCTGTTTGCTATAAGGGGTCGTCCATAAATGACGTCACGCACCTGGGGGGGGGGGGAGGGTCAGACATTTGTGATGATGTGTGATGAGGCGGGGGGGGGGGGGTTGAGAAATGTGACGTCACATCAAAATGCGCAACTTTAAATAAATATAGACAACACGTTCTACTTAATTAAATACACTTTTTAATAAATGTTTTCTCCTACAACATCAGAGTGACGCGCCACATTAAATACGCACTACAATGACATTTATGGACGGTCCCTAAGAAAAGCCTATGTTTAAAAACACTGGCAATGATCTGTTGCGTTTTCCTCTAAGGATTGTGCTCCTCAGCAAGGCCTTTCTTGTCTGTTGTGAATAGTGTTTTTTTAAAATTATTCATACATTGCACTTTATTATTTTTTTATTTTTTTAAATGCAAGTGATATATAAATCAAAACGTACAAGTGGCTGAAATTAACTTATTTACATGATGTGGCCTATGTAGAAGACACAGATGTGGATCAATCATTGGTGAAAATGACTTTGTTAATGACATAGATACTCCATGCACTTTGTGTCTATGGGTGTATGTGTGTATCTTGTATGTATTGTTTCAATCGCTTTATGATTAAAACAAATTAGTGCACAATGAAGGCAGTTTATGAGATCAAGTTGAAACACTGGTCAATACATATCATTATATTCATAAGGGTTACTTATGGTGCTTAATTATTTGTTAATTTCAAAAGGTAAAGCCCTTCAATTGCTTGCTCATGCCACTGCAAGCAGAAGGTACCCCAATAGAGGCAGCTTTAGAGAGTAAAGTCTCCTCTTCCACGCTGACACGACAAATTGCAAGAGATGGGAATACCCAGATCGTATCCTAGCAGACGCAACTCGGCATTGATTGAATGGTGTAACACATTTACATACTGCTAGCTGGGCAGAGGTGCCGGGACGATTGAATAAACTTTCCCTTCACTTCAACTGGGAGTTTAAAGTGGCGACCTCTGGATTGTAAGTCGAGTGTGTTCAATATTTGTATTCTATTATGGCAGCTTCACTTGGAATCGTATTTGACATTCACTTTCGGTGATTTTTTTACTTTCAATAAACACATTGGTATGTGCGTCTTCCAAAGACACGTTCTCTATGGGCTGCGTTGGGACGTACGGATGAAATGTGCCATACAAATGCAACTTATTTTTGTTATTACTTATAGTAGTTGTCGATGAGAAGCAAGGCCTTGTCATAGTCGAACTTGCGAGCTCGGAGAAAACGAAGGAGAAACCCGTCATCGGTGGGGGCAGGAATCTCTGGATGTTCCTTGAGCATATCACGCAAGGCCTGCACACACACACACACAGAATCATCAGGATATGTATTTATCCTGGAGAAATCCGATGAGCTATGAAGCTCTTTTCCATCATCGGTGGGGGCAGGAATCTCTGGATGTTCCTCGAGCATATCACGCAAGGCCTGCACACACACACACACAAAATCATCAGGATATGTATTTATCCTGGAGAAATCCGATGAGCTATGAAGCTCTTTTCCACTGATGTCCAGTAGGGGCGAGTGAGAAAGTTACAGGAAATAATACAAACATCGATCGGAGTGCAAGGTATCAGAAAAATAAGCAAATCAGTCAAAATAAATACGTAAATAAGGTAAAGATATGTAAGTTCAAATTGCACAAGTACAGCAATTTCAAAGCTTGGGCAAGGCAGCAAAGCAACAGCAAAAACAGTCCAAGATCACACCAAGAAAATGCAGTCCCTCACTAAAATTGACCTATCGATACATGGGTAAGGACGAAAGTTACAATTAACATTGGCAAATGCAGTTGTGTGCAGCACTAATCTTCCGCTTCAAGATATTTTATTTTCATGTTTAATGATGTAATGGCACTTTGGGTGGTAGATTTGTGCCAGAAAGGCGCTGCACGTATGCCAAAAACTAACTGACTTCACTTGACTATTGCGTCAAATATAGGGAAAACTTAAATTGCTCTCACAGAAGTTCATCGTAACTTCAACTATACCATCCCAAGTGCTTTATCCGAACAATGGTAAATAACTGGAGAATAACCCACTGGGCTGTTCGTAGAAGAGCGTGTGAAAACTGGTCACAAGGCGGAAAAGTGCCCACGCATTGTTTTTACCATGTTAAATTGTTTTTACGATGTGGCATTGTTTTTACCATGTGGCACTGTCAAACAAACACCGTGATAGGTGTTGCAACAAAACCTTGGCCGCGATGTCACATGTACCACCACATTACATTGGCAATTAACGCAGGAAGCCCATACAAATTCTGTGAGCCCACTTAAACAAGGTTGGTTGTTCACATGACATAATTTCACCGAGAAGTGTAGAAATTAAGTAATTTGGTCACTACTTTATATACCTCTACATTCTACAATACTTCTTAAAACTGTGCTCTCGACTTAGAAACCAAAAATATATATTTATTACATATCCCAACAGCCACACAATATTATGTGAGTACATCATTTGGTGGAACACAAGCAAACTCTGGACTGGTTGTGTCATTCAGTATATCATCAGCGGTCAGGCTTGCGTGCATCAATGCTGATGAACTGCCAGATGTTTATAGGCCCGGGCGCTCTGTTATATACGGGTTCTATTTCGACGCAAAACGACATAATATATAACACAACGTAACGGTTATTGTCGTTGTGGACTATTGGTTTAATCCTTTCCCGTTTTGACTACGTTCGTTTACGTCATCGGAATGGAATTGATTCCCAACAGAAACAGAATCGGAAAAGACCATGCGGGAGGGCGTGTGCCACAGTTCGGCACCAGCTATCAGAGTGTGGTCGTTCTCGCTAAATTTCTCTGCAGTAAGTACAGCACAATGCGTTTAAATACAGCAGCGCTACGCCTCTCTAAATAAATCAACGTTAACCGCTTGTGGGTTCCGAGACTCTGCAGCGAACGGGACCCACCCGGCAGTTTGCAGACGTCTTGGAACGGGAAAGAATCAGTTAAGACAAACAAATATTTGCCGTGTGCCAATTGCATTTATTTATTTACGTGGGAAAGGCACAGAGAGCATCAGGTAATATTTCTGGAGGTTCTTGCTTTGAGACATTTGGAAAAACAATCCATTATATTTTGGAAAGGAACCAGAGTGTCTGGAAAACTTATTTTAATTCTTAGATGGTTACACATTCATAACGAGCATTTTTTTTTCCAGCCCTTTGTTAAATCACTGTTGGATGAAGGCCTTTCCATGCATTTTTGATCGTGGAAATTGTCTGACCATATTTTACCACACTGGTCAATGCGGGTTGGTTGAAACCCCCAAGACCTCGTCACGGATTTTAGCCGTGTCTGAGCTCAGGTCACTGGTGTCCTGTATGTATGTTGAAATTCTTTCGCATCATACGTAGCGAACTGTGCTAATCGGAGGTGCGGTTATAGCTCCGTGTGCCAACCACTGCACCGCCACTCCACATCCACATTCAAGAAATCCACTAACAAAAATAATGAATGAATGAACACAATAAAGGAATGAATGGGAGAGATTCACACCTGAATGTCCCGGAGGCGCCATTCGGGCTTCTCCTGCAGCTCCTGCCTGGCCACCTCCACCAGATGAGGGGAGAGGCGGCACACGTAGGTGCCCTCCGTACTGGGGTCTCCCACTCCGACGGGGCCCAGCTCCGTGAGCCCCATGCCGTCTTCCATTGCCTCCATTCTCCCCGTGCCCGTCCTATAGCAGGACATTGCGAGCGATTCCGGGGCTGCATTCAACATGTGGGGGAGATTGCAGGGGTCGGGAGGTTAAAAATGGCATCAGAATTGGTACACGGTGCGCTAAGTGGCATTCACCTTCATTAATGTCACCAACTTATCCAGGAAAGCCTCATTGAGCGTCAATATTTTTTTTAGGGAGAGTTCATTATTGAGATGTTTGGTCAATGCTATTAACGGATAATCTGATTGTGGGAGGAAAGCAAAATATTGAGAGAAAACCCACGCATACGTGGGAATAACACTCCGAGGTCTGCAAATATGGGTTAATAGGCCATTATCTATACTGCCATCTCCTGACCATCTGGCAGCCCAGTAGATTTGGGAATTTTACAAATTTAAGCATTCCATGAACCCTTATCTCCACGGTGAATTGGGAATGAGCCACCATGCCTGGCAGTCACAAGTCAGTGATGATGCCCTACTGGATATCTGTGAAAAAGAGCTTCATAGCTCGAGGATAAATAATAATGATTCTAAAATTCCACACTCCTGTGTTGGGATCAGGACGATAGGATAAGTCTCTCCAGAGAACCACCACTGATGACTTCCCAAAAAATGGTGCTTATTTTATTTATCCTTGACGAATAGTAGTCATTTTGACTAGGATTTGAACTCAAATGTTCCAATGGTGGGTCAAGGACTTTAACAAGATCTAACAGCTTGATATATAGAAATCACGTGCTATGCGTAATTTCCTGACGGAGATTATGCCTCTTGTTTATTCACATTCATATTAAAATAAAGCAATAACACATTTAATTATATAAAATAACTTACAATACCTAATGCTGTTAAAGCCTGGTCAGTATTATATGTAAGAAAACGATCCTTGAATGCCTAAAGTGGTAACATGTTACCCTTATAATTCCGTACATTAAGAGTGTAAAGAATTTCAACTGTGCATTATAAACACTATGCACATAATCCCAGCATGTGTGCACATGAACCTGAGTTTGTCAGTACAACAACTGCCGATCAATCGACCAGTGGCAGCAAAACCTCTAGTCGTAAGAACAATGGACACATTAGCCCATTCAGATCCATTAATAGCTGCCATTAGGCCTGATATAGCTATCCACAGGTCAACAATGTCTAATGGGTACACAGTGCTCTAAGTGGTACAAAGGGAAATTTAAGGCTGAGAATCATCGTCTCATTGTCTGAGCTACATGTGCAGCTCTTACTCCATTCAATCATTTATGATTATTACTGTGCGGGTCCTAATTCTTATTTTACCCTATTCTTTCCAGAAAATCTGGAAGTGAATACTGCTTGGGTTTACCATGTGCTGTGGCGAAGTGGATGATGCACAAATCATGGCTACAATAGCGCTGTACGTTTGTGTCACGTGTAAAGGCATAACGTTACTGCTTCAGGGAACATATACTAGTTAAAAATACAGCACTGTAATAACAGAGACATTTACTGTCACTGACAAAACTTCCATGAGATTGATTGTTGCTGTATGAAAAGCATCAGTCATTCACATCATTATTTTCCAGTCGAATTTAGACACATTATAAACGTCATTTTCCGAGGAAGAATGACAGCGGAAAACCTGTTATTATGAAGCTCGTATTAACTTTTGTAACCGTATAATTTAACAATTTAAAATCTGAATATGCACGTATTAAGGGATTAATTATTCAACATTTGCCCTTCTTGCACACGGTAAAACTGCCCATTCATGTCTGGCAATGATAGCACAGTAACTGGATTCAACTAAATATCAACCGTATTTCAAATTGCATGCAATAAAGTTCACCTAACCAACGGTGTACATGACAGTTTAACAATTACCATTCAGTTTAACACGTAGGCTTTCGCGACCAATATCATTAATAATAAAGGTTTTTGGGTTAGATCGAGTTATTTATAAAAGTGTCGTAACCCTCCACCACCCAACACGGCCAATCAGCAAAAAAGTGTCACGTTGACAAAAGACAAATAGTTCACTTTAGCCCACCGGTGTGTTGAAGAGTGAATCCACAACATTTACAGTTTGAGTACGACGTTTCGCTGGTAATTACATCCAGCATCATCGGGCAATTCGCCCAATGATGCTGGATGTAATTACCAGCGAAACGTCGTACTCAAACTGTAAATGTTGTGGATTCACTCTTGAACACACCGGTGAGCTAAAGTAGTGAACTATTTGTCTTTTGTCAACGTGACACTTTTTTGCTGATTGGCCGTGTCGGGTGGTGGAGGGTTACGACACATTTATAAATAACGCGATCTAACCCAAAACCTTTATTATGAATTACCATTCAGGTTAGTCTGAACCATCAGAGCAAAATGTACGCAACAAATTTTAAAATCATGCCAGGAGCACATTTGTTTAGACACGTGGATCAAACTTGGAACATGACAGCATACAAGCCACGCCATACTAACAACTGAACATTATTGATCTTCTGCCAGGGAGAGGATGGGAAAGCCCTGCGAGTTATAACGGGACTGACTTTTTCAACTCATTGATAAATCATGCTCATCAAGCAGTCGACCTTTTTTATGTTTGTCGATCACTCCCGAGTGACATCAGTTACCTTATTTACATGTCAACTGCGTGCATCCGCCAATGCCTTGATGTGAAGGTCAGCACCAAGTTGAATTCCCGTTTTCAGGCCTTCAGCAAGTGCGTTCATCCACCAGTTGCCAGCTCACTCGTGAAAAGAATATAAAGCAAGGTAAATGATTGTGGGATCTCTCCAAGAACAAATATGTGCAGAAAAATTACTCACAAAAGCATTGGTAAAGCAGTTCAAGTATGATTCTCCTTAATAGAGGTCGTTGGGTTAGAGTGCGTCACTAGTAAGGTGTATCACAATTAGTAAGGTTGGCCACTGTACACAATTGAGATGGAGGCATTCCATTAATTGACTGCCACTCTTTATTAAGGACGTATACGTGTGACGGTCAGCGAAAGAGTTTCAGTGGCTCATGCTACGAGTTCAAATCCTGTTTGCAGATCCATTATTTGAATGCCAATTTGTGAGGAAGCCATCAGTGGTTGTCCTATGAACAGCCTGGCACCCGACCACAGGAATGTGGAATTGCAACCACTGGTTCAGGGCTGTAAACAGGAGATGAGCACCGCTTATAGGCCCATTTGAGCAGGAAATCACTTTGTATTTAATAATAATTTTAATGTATAAAGCGCCCTTAAACAATCGTTCTCACTCGCACTACGATCTATGGCTTTGTAGATGAGAGCAAGGACGTAATTATAATATATATTGGGGGAGACATCCCCCCCCCCAAAAAATTAAAACATGCTCAAAATGTCCCCCCCAATATATTGCTATAAAATAGATTTCTGTTTATATGATTGTGGTTATGGTGGTACTTTATTAATCCAGAATCTCTGCCATTACATACAATGAAACAAGAAAAGGTAAAAAAAAACAGAGCAATGTAATACAATACACCATTAGACATTGTTGTAAAAAATAAGTCCATCCTATGTGTTAGTGAATTTTTTAAATATTTAGGCAGGAAATTCGTTTTCAAATTTTGATTTTTTTCTGGGGGGGGGGGGGGGGGGACCCCCAGACGCCCTGGAAGATTTGGTCCCCCCAAATGTTGACTTCATGGCTACGGCCTTGGATGACAGTATACTTCATACATCATATCAACGATGAGAATCACGTCCTATTGTTTTATTATAAATAAGGATATGTTTACCCATTAAAGCACCACAGAGTCTCGTGATGCTTCTATCAGGAGGGTTTTGCGAAGTTTTCGTAGCGAGGGGGTGGTCATTTATATCTATATTCCAATTGAGTAGTTACTGGGTAATTTTTCGATTTGTTTTTCCAAAATGCATGTATTTAAACGTGCCAATATTAAAGGATAAATAACAGTATTGTCCGTGAGATTATAACAGCTCACAGAATTAGATACTACAATCCAGAAGAGTATTCCACTTACAACCCTGATGTCTGTTTACATATTAGTACAAGTCAGCCTATTTTTACGTTACTTCAAATTGTCTTGTTATTTTTGATGACCATTGTCACTCTTGCAAAATGAGACTTAGCCTGATATCTTGAGCACTCAACTTGGTTAAACAAATTAAACTTAGAACTTGAAACGAGCTAGCACTGTTGTGTTGGGCGCGCCTGTTATGGGGAGCGGTGGCGCAGTGATTAGCGCAGTGAGCTACGAACCCAGGCGATCCCAAGTTCGATTCCAGCTCACGACCAATATCGGTGACGGCGAATTATTTATGAACCGGTCCCGGGCTTCCCCTAGATCGACTCGGCCTTCAACGAGTACCTTGTGCGGTGTATAAACATCACGACTAGGGAGCCAAAGGCGGCCGGGAATAGTGCTGGCAAACAGCACTTGCCCTGACAGCATGTTAAAGGCTACACGGAGGGGGGCTCTTTGTAGTTGTTAAATGACGCTGATAACGCAACCAAGCCACGGGGAACTCGCAACCCAAACGGGCCGGGCCTGTTACGAAATCTCGTGGGCACGCCGCCTACGAGGAAGAGACGGAGAGTAGGCGACGCGAGGTGCCGCAGATTAAAAGAAGAAGAAGAGGAGCAGCAGCAGCAGCAACAACAACAACACGCCGCGCAGGGCTGTAACGACGAATGGTGAATGATTGACAGCTCACAGAGAGAAGCGCCGGCAGACGCGCCGCTCCCCCACCACCACCACAGTTGCCGCTTCCGCTTACACACATGACGTCACGTCGAGAGGCACCGGGGGGGATGACGTCACATCGAGAGGCACGAGGGGACGAGAGATTGCGGGGGGGGGGTTGGGGGTGACGTCACGGCGGGGACGACACTCCCGAGAGCCACGGGGGAAGAGATTGCGAGGGTGACATGACGCTTAGAGCTCGGGGTTGACGTCACGCTGAGAGTCACAGGGGGATGACGTCAGGCCGAGAAGCAAGGGGGACGAAAGTGATAGGATGACGTCATGCCGAGTCACGGGGGCATGACGTCACGCCGAGAGCCACGGGGGGTGGGGGAGGATTCGTGAAAAAGGGCCCTTTCCCGAAACGTTTTTTTACATTTAAGGCAATGGCATTAACAAAAGTGTTGAATTATAGGAATAAAGGGCCTCTTTTAACCCTGGTTGAAATGAGAATTGCATCGAATTAAGACGATGCTGATGGTTGTTTTGTTTAACTCGCTGCCACAGTGAATTTGCAAGCAACTTGTCATAATTGTTTACGTTGCATGCAAATTAGTTCATTGTGAAGTACATATTTAATTGCTAAACTGTTGCGTGTTTCCACAACCTGGTTGTGCATTTCATTCGCAGTGAAAAATGTAGCCAAAGTTATGGATTGCAAATCCATATTGCAAATCCATAACTTGAAATGAGCTTTTGCAGGCACAGTTGGGTACACTTCGCTTGAAGAACATTCACTTATTCTTTACACTGGGAGTACAGCAACGCACAGACAATTTAACAAACTTCAATGTTTAGCTCGCCGCACAGCGTTTCGCTCACTATCTTGGAGAGAATTATTCAAGAGGTCAGGCCCAGAAGCGAGCTTGCCACAAGTGGTAATCTCAACGAAGTTGGCTTAGCATCATGTGGACATTTTTATAGCAGCTAAATAACTCTGAACGCATGTTCATTATAAATGTGGGGGGCTGGGGGGGGGGGGAGGAAACCGGAGGACCCTTTAAACATCCACGAGACCGCGTGGAGAGAGACGCCGCAAACTCCACCTATATAGCAGGCTCATAATAAAGGTTTTTGGGTTAGATCGCGTTATTTAGAAATGTGTCGCAACCCTCCACCACCCGACACGGCCAATCAGTAAAAAAACAAGTGTCACGTTGACAAATGCCAGCATAGTGAAGCCATCCACCTGCTCCCGGTCTTAAATAGTGCAGGATGATTGCGACACAATTATGAATAATTATGAATAACGCGATCTAACCCAAAAAACGTTTTTTTATTATGAATAATACTGGTCGCGAAAGCCTACGTGTATATAGCAGGCGCCAGGGTCGAACCTACGACCTCCTGCATACCAGGCGAGGTAGGTTACATTTCGGTCACTGTGACGCCCGAGTCAATCCATACGCCGGTTTCCAAGAAAAAAAACGCCCAAGCTCTGCGGTCCTGTATACATTAAGGTCGTATCGACCAATTAGTGCTTACCAAAGCATTAAACAAAAAAAAACGAAATGATGAACGGAGCAAAGTGCCGACTACACCGAGCATCTTCTTGTTTCTTCTGATCGTAAAAAAAAAATTAGTGCTTACACATGGGAGGAAACCAGAGCACCGAGAGAAAACCCAGGCGTGTGAGGGAGGGAAACACTTCCACACGGGTGCTCTACTGCCTTCTCCTGGCAAGCCAGGGTATACGACTCCTCAACGCCCACGGGAATGGGGAGTTTCGCAACATTTGTGCGATCCCACCAATCATCGTCCCCGCATTGCTGGATTACGTACATGTGCGTGAAATGCCACCACCGCCCGAACGCTCCCAACTGGCTCTGTCTGGCATTGCCAAGCCACGTTACTGAATCGTGGACATGCACAGAATTTGTTTTTTTGCTGTGGTCTCAACAGCCTTGTGAAAACCATTTCCAAATTGCAAGAACATTTTCTGTAAATGTACCGCATTCCTTAACGGTGGTTTTATATCAATTGCATTGTATTCATGGTCTAAGAAAGAAAAAATCATATGCTGCCAATTTTGGCTGGGGGGTGTATTAAAGAGATGAGTGTGTGTTTTTGCAATGTGTAATGAAAAAGAATTGATCGTTTGCAAACGCTGGCACTCCGAAGTGAACGAAAGCATGCTACTTAGATATATTGCTTATCGCGAATGAGCCAAATATCAAGAATTGGGTCTCGTACTTGCTCAACATGTGAGAGGGCTTTATTGACTAGTTGATGAGACTTTTGGAATTGCAAGCCGCGTAAGTAAATTGGTTCTGTTCTGCAGCGTAAATAGTTTATAAAAATGTAACTGGACATCTGCGAAATTGCTGAAAATGCATGAAAATCGCACCGTAGTTGCGAAATGGAACATTACAAAATGTGCAGTTATTTGTTTTTATTGTGTGTTGAATTTGCTACTTTTAGAATCTGGCTATAAACAAGCCGGCTAAATCAATAAATGAGAAACCCTGTGTAAGGTTTGTATCATACATGTGGATACAATGAGAAATACTAATTGCATGTGAATTAAAATACATTTACAACATAATAGTTTTAACATCATGCACACGTGAATATATTAGGAATGCAATACATATTCTTGGTTCTTTCGGTAAAGTCACGTAGAAGGGAAACAATAACATAATAAAAATATAAATGTTCTTGCTGTGGTTTTCACACCTGATGATGATTGCTTGTGTTGCAGTCGAAACGTTGTGAGCATTTTATTGTTTTATATTTTTTTATATTTTATTGTTTCCCTTCTACGTGACTTTACTGAAAGAACCAAGAATATAAATCCCTGCAGTCACGAAAGCTTTAAATAAAAATGCAATACATATTTGTTGAATTATATGAATATATTAGAAATTAAATACGTCCTTCTTGAAATCTATGCAGCAAAGTTGTATCGCGCGTTGTACAAGCAATATCTATATATTTGATTTTCATATTGCTCGCATATACTTTCATACGTTTAATAACTTTCGATTTAAAGCTTTCGTGACTGCAGGGATTCATATTCTTGGTTCTTTCGGTAAAGTCAAGTGTGATTTTTCACACCTGATGATGATTGATTGTGTTGCAATCGAAACGTCGTGAGAATTTTATAGTTTTATTTTTATTATATTATTTCCCTTCTACGTGACTTTACCGAAAGAACCAAGAAAACGTTTAATAACTGGTAAGCATCGTCATTAAGTATGGTAACATATGTTGAGGCACTGCACATGTGCAATGGTATATATCAAGCTGGTAGGTAGCCCTGATTCATTTACCAGCGCTTAATTTATCAATGAGTTTGTGAGCATAAACTTAACGTGTTCGTTACATAATAGCACGTCTGCCGAGTTACATTTTTTAAGCAAAACGAACAATTCAACAATATCTGTACTTTGTTTCATTAGTTTTCCCTCTGTGCAATTCCAAAACAAATTCTGACCTAAATTATGATTTAAAGCTTTCATGACTGCAGGGATTCATATTCTTGGTTCTTTCGGTAAGGTCACGTAGAAGGGAAACAATAAAATAATAAAAATATAAAACATGACTTTACGTGACTTTACCGAAAGAACCAAGAATAAGTTCTGACCTGATACAATAGTAAAAATTGTAAGTGCATCAGCTAGCCTTGTGGGTGCATAAGTAATGCATATTTCGTTTAACTGCAATTTTTACACTTTAGGAAGGTAAAAAAAAAACTGGCATCCATGCCCATGGTGCATAATTGCATCATAAAGCGCGTTTGCATTTCAGAAGTGCGCCGGTGTTGATGATGCTGGCATAATCTACGAGTCGTTGCCCATTATTACACCGTCCTTCTGGAATTTTGCAATTTCCCTAAAGCCTGTCAGCTCTGAGGACTTGCGTAGCGTCTGGGAGGGCCACTGGACTGGGAGCTTGCACCTCATCATATTAGACGTTTTGATTTAAAGCTTTCGTGACTGCAGGGATTCATATTCTTGGTTCTTTCGGTAAAGTCACGTAGAAGGTAAACAATAAAATAATAAAAATATAAAACAATAAAATTCTCACGACATTTCGACTACAACACAAGCAATCATCATCAGGTGTGAAAACCACGGCAAGAAATTATATATTTTTATTATTTTATTGTTTCCCTTCTACGTGACTTTACCGAAAGAACCAAGAATATGTATTGATTTCCTAATATATTCACGTTTCGACTGCAACACAAGTGTTAATCGCTGGGACTCCCATGGGGTTCCAGTTAATCACTGGGGACTCCCAAAAAAAAACCCGCCACTTTTTTCAAATTTTCTTGTTGTGGTTTTCATAACCTGATGATGATTGCCTGTGTTGCAGTCGAAAACGTCGTGAGAATTGTATTGTTTTATATTTTTACTATTTTATTGTTTCCCCTTCTACGTGACTTTGCCGAAAGAACCAAGAATATAAATATATTAGACGTTGTCGACACGCGTTGCTGTGGCCGGACACGAGCGCGCCATGCAGACTGAGTGGCCGGTTGGCTGCGTCGGGATCCTTTTTGATCACGTCTCGTGAGTCGGGCGAGCCGATGCCAGTCTCAAGCCTCGGGGACTCATTTCTGCAGTGTAGCACAATCGGCCAAGCCTCTGCGACCCTATGATTGATGGAATGGCAACACGTGTACATACGACTAATGACTGCGTCGTTTTCATTAGGATTGTTTTTTTAGCGGGGTACTTAGGAAGATTGCTACCTTGCATTGCAAACTTTGAGGTGGCATAATGAAAGCAGTGACTGGTGGCTTCAACATGAATGAATGCATGTCTGGCATGAGGATACGCACCTGCGTTTTCAATCAGCGTTAAAAGCATAGGCCAGTGTGTGTCTCCGCAATACGAGGTGAGATCGGATAATTGCCCACAATTACTCTACAGTACTACCGGATCGTGCATCCGTGCACATTCCTCTTGCAACGTGCTTCTGTCCTAAAATGAAGTAAATTCCCGGGGGTCAAGAATAAATATAAGGTATTCCTTATTATGTGCAAGATTACAGTGGTCACGATAATTATACCATCATGTTGACGTCTGTAATGCTGCAACGCGTCCGCCAATATGGGTCGGAGAACGGACAGCATGTGTAAAACCTGAGCTC